TCATTGCCATTGATAACTCGATCTATTCGAAAATTTAAAAAAATAAAATTAATAATTACAAAATTGGAGATAAACATTTTTGTCCCAGACAGAGCCTGTCGTACAAAATTAACCCTTTAAAAGAGGTCATGCTCAATTTCTTGGATAAACGAATAGTTTATACGTTATTTGCAATTGAAATATACGAATTTTTTTTCTCAAAAACCGCTCCAATGTTTTCTTTAAATATTCTTCACTTATGTAATAAGAGACATTAAAAATATGATGCTCTATTTTTTGAAAATTAAAACAACAATTTGAAGATAGAGATTTTTTCCTTGGACAGTCTGTTGTACACAATTAGCTTTTCAAAAAAGTCGTGTACAATTTTTTGCAAAAAGAAATTGTTTTGCACAAATTGCGATTGAAAATTTACAATTTTTTTCTCAAAAACCGCTCCAAATTTTTTCTTTAAATTTTCTCTACATATGTAATAAGGAACAGAAAGAAATATGGCACTAGTCTTATTTCCGTGCTCGATTTTTTCGGAAATTTAAAACAAAAAAATTCAAAACTACAAAATTGAAGATATAAATGTTTGCCTCAGACAGTCTGTTGTACAAAATAAGCTCTTTGGAAAAAATCATGTATTATTTTTTTTTTAAACTAGTAGTTTTTTAATGTCCATGTAGTAAAGTTCATGTAGTAAAGATGTTAAAGCCAGAAATGTTCAGTGTTCTGTAAATCTGTGGTCAAAGAGCAAACGCAATAAAAGAACTTAGGAGCGTGACATGGTGCACTGCCTGGGAAAGAGACCGGAGCAAAAACGCTGGTTGGGTGCCTTTTGATTTCATACTCATCGTTATTGCAGGGATATCTTGTACATCGAAAAGGAAAATGTATATTTCTAACATATTATTAGAATGTTTTCTATTATCTGGGAATTGCGTAACAGGAGCACGAGCAGACAGAGTAGGAATCGAAAACTCAAGACACGATGAGTCACAAGTGCGCTCTTCGTGCCCTACAGGTCGAAGGACGACTGCATATCCAGGAGTAGAGTCTGTATTTCGTGCCACTAAATGTCGCATGATCGCGACCGTATTTAGCACTTCCCGTACACATACGTATATACGTGGTATAGTGAAAGTTATGAAATTCTGCACAAAACAACAATGGATTTTCGTCAGAAAAAAGAATGATTGCCGGGCCTTGATGAAGAAAAAGTGAATAAATCCAGTTGCTAAAGTACGGGGGGAAATCCTCTAACACGTAGTGTATCCCTGTGACGGCAAAACGTCCGACTGTGAACACTACTAGGGTCTAAACATTGCGAAATATTTTTTCCAAATTGAAGAAACCTTTGTCCATCTGGTTCGAGTCAAAGCTTTGAGATTTTGAAAAACAGGCTTTAAAATTTAGGGGTACTTTGCATGAAGACCTCTGGGCGTTTTAAAAAGTTTCTCAAACACGGCTCCATTTTTTTTTTTTTTTAACTTTTGGCAGGGATCTTTATGTACCCCATGAGATGAGCGAACATCAGTTCGCTCTATTCTTTTGTTTTTTCTAAAATGTAATGTTGTATCCTTGATTGTTATTGGATTGCTAAAAGGTATAGAAAAACAATGCACCATCCGGTTCGTTTCATGATTTTATTTGAACTATAATTAAACTGTACAACTTGCGTCAGGTAGGTAAACAAACTAGCATCACCGTTAAAATAAAGTGGAGAGTCAAGGCTCAGCTCCGAGATGGCGCCACTGTGCACCAATGAATATGAAGAAACGATGCTATTGCGTGTCCACACGTTTTTTTGTGTCGAAAAACGGATCGAAATTTTTCCTTCACTCTTTTCGAAAGGATAGTGCTAATTGCACCCTTTAATATGATGTCAAGTTCATTACGAGACATTCTTTTTGTTATTCAAAAATTACACAAATGTATTTTTTTAATTTTTTTTGAGTCTCTCACACCGCTAATATGCACATTTCCAACTATTTGTAAACTATGGTATTTATGAGTTAAAAGTACTTCAAATTAAGTTTTTCAAAAACTCAAAAATTTTTGTTTAAAAGAGTTACAAATTTCGAATTTACAGTAGTGCTTAAGAGTTTTTTTTTTTTTAATCGGCTCCAAATGTTTCCAAGAAAATTGCAATTTAGTACGACTTTACCGTTCTTCATTTTCCATGGCAAAAAAAAGTACTTTGGGCAGCTATGAGAGCTGGCAAGAGTATGTGGCAAGTTCATTAGCTAACCGAGGCCAAAGGAAATAGAAAACGAAAGCTGGAAAGCGTATGCCATTCTGTAGCATCACTACTTACATATTCAGTACTAAATTACATATTTTAGTATTTTAACAAAATATTTTTTTCGCAGCTACACTGATAATTCATGAATTTGATCCTCGATGTAAGCTATGAAAGCCTGAAACGCAATTGAGGTGCATAAATTAAATAACTTTAAAGAGAAGGGAATGGCGCCAGCAGCGTTACACAGCGGTTGGAGGTCATAGTTTAGTGTTATGTAATGTTGGTCTTTATTTTGTTTCAACATTTGCTGAAATGTTTCCTTTTATTCAGTCTTATACTAAAGCATTAAAATAATAATAATAAATCTATTTAGCGTTTTTTTACAGCCTTGGCTGTTTGCAGCATCCCAATTTCCATGCCTCTTTATCGCATAGATAGTTTTCATTCATTTCTCTTTTTTCCATGGCTTCAGTTATTGCCACGTTCCATGTTCTTCTTGGTCTTCCCCTGTATCTTCTTCGATTTGGTATCCATCCCCAAACTTTTTGTGGAAGTCTTTCCGATTTTACCCTTCTCATATGCCCATTAGTTGTTTCGTTTCAATTGTCTCGTTCAAGGTTGTTCGCACTTTCACTTTTTTTGTTAATTCATGATTTCTTTTTTTATCTAACAGAGAAAGTATACATCTTTGCCAGAACATCATTTCTGTTGATTGAAGTTTGTCTTTCAAATGCTTTGTTAGTGTTCAGACTTCTGCCCCCTCCTGTGGTACTCTCTATGAAGGAGCTATATATGCATTTGCCTTCATTGAAATACTTGAGTTCCATAGCACTGGATTCAATTGTCTTGTGGTTATTTTTCCTCTTATATTTTTACTTTTCACATCCTGTTCGTCCACCATCTGCTGTTAGTGTGACTCCCAAATACTTCTATTGTATATTACCTTTAATTATTGCTATACTAAGTCTCTAAATCATGGGGCATACCTCCCACCCCCATATATTCAGTTTTTTGTACAATTATTTCCATTCCCCAAATTCCATAATGTTCAGAAAATTAGTAGAAGAGTATGAAAAATAGGGAAATATTAAGAAATTTAAAAAAAAAAGAAACTTAAATGGTTATGATGAATAAATTGTTACAATATATAGAAATATTAAATAGAAAATAGTATCAGCCTATTCTAAATTTCAATTAAAATGGCACAGTATATGCGAGATCCATGTATCAAGACTGTGTGTGCAAATTTCTTGCGTGTAATCTTCATTCAAAATTTGATCCCAATCTTATTGTTAGGTACAGACCGCATTGGCAACTAATTCTAACTTGATCATAAATGTAAACATAAATAAAATTAATACAACTCCTTGTTACTTCTTAATAATTTATTTTTACATATTGTAAATTGTCGCAAGGGTTACCTATTATTTAGGTTGAGAGGGGTCGAAGACGCATTACATGGGGGAACATATTCCAAATTTGTTACGTAATTTATGGATGGCTCCTTACACCAAGTTCTTGCCCAGATAAGACAAGTTGGAAGGCCTAAAAAACTCCCTGTGTGCGTTCCAGGGACATGTACAAAGAAGAGTTACAAGCAACTCGCTGTTTGAAAATTTAGGACTTGTCATTGTCAGAAAGGATAGCTGCCAATTTCTACATTAATTCCAAGATATGATTCCTGAAAGCACCGCTGCGGGTGAGGAAGATACTGCTCCTCGTTAGCAGCGCGTCTAGGTGGTGGATGCTTCACTTGTGCAAATCTCATTTGCAGTCAAAAATCGAATAATTCATAATAAAATCCGTTCTAAAAAAATATATCTTTAAATAAGGTCTTGTACAATTTTTTGAAGGAGGAAAAAAAAATGTTTAATTTTTGCTTGAAATAAAGGCAGTTCAAAAACGTTTTATCAAAAAAGGCTCAATATTTTTTCTTGAATGTTTTTCTGAGATGGAGCAAAGTAATTAGTATTATTACAGTTTTGTGAAATTATTAGACAACCATAACACTTATTACAAAACCATTTACGAATAGTATGTTGTTGTGAGTGAGTTGGGCTCGTGAGACGGGTTTGGTGTACATGAGACAAGGTACATGGACACTAAGGCTGTGGGTTTGAAACCTGTGTAAGGCATGAATGCTTTATGTTGTGTTCATGGTGGCGGGATGGAAGAGGGTTTCAAGTACCTCTGAATCACATACTCAAATCGTTCCATAATCTCTTGGCCTGACAAGCAACTGTGAGTGCAATGTGTGTGTTTAATTGAAGAACTAGATCCCTATACCCAGAAACAATTGTACCAGCAGTGAGAGTGTGTCAAATGATACCATTTACAAATGTAAATTTAAGAGGGCCAATATAGCCCATGAAATATTTGGAAGCACGAAGGTGCTCTTCACTAGAAATTTCTACAGAGCAATAGGTATCCCAAGAGGCACTGGTGTTTTTTTTGGGCACTGATAGATTAAATAACGAGTGATTTGTTCATGTGATCAAGCAAGTAGTATTCAGAGAATCATTCTGAAAACTGATAAAACATAATTCATTAAATATCTTTGTGATAAAACTAAGATCTGAAAAGAGCTGACCAATTAGCCTCCATCTCCCCTACTCTAGGCAAAGCAGAAAGACATAACTGAATACATCTTATTACGCCCGTGGAATATTACAATGGATTCTGTATAATTTTCATAAATGGTTTGGGCAATGTCAAATATATATGCTTTTGACTGAGAAGAAACCTGCATTTCAATGCCTTCTACAAATAAAATTACATTGAACCTATAGTAAAAAAAAAAAAGAAGAAAGAAGCAGCTTTCTGACCGTTCCCATACTTTTTATTTACAAATACACAATTTAGGAATGTTATATCATTAACTATCTTACATAAGGCTTTCTAGGAAAATGGACACCATATACACATAATGACATAAATGGAACATGTCAGAAGTACACTCATTCAGGAATTTACTGTATGGTTTTTAGTTCTGTATAGTTCTTTTGTTTTAAGAGCAACAATTAATAAATACATGTAAGAAATGATATATATTGTTCTCAGACCTGTTTAGATCAAGACTCAACTAACACATACATCTGCCGATTCACAAAAAATTATGGTACCAAATATTAATTTATCGTACAGTATTGCATTGTTACACATTAGCATTTATATATACATGAAATATTGGCCTTATGGTATTTATACCTAAATTATACACACATGTACTGCAGTGACTATTTTACACAATTATTTCTGTCCAATTCATTTTAATTTACATATAATACATACTTAATTGGTAAGCACATCACTTTAGAATATCTACCATTACTACCAATTTTAACTTTTACTGAGTTATTAAGTTTGAAGGTACACCTACTGAAATGCATACCACTTGCATACTATTGCAAAGCAAACAATTTTATACAAATATCCAACAAATAGTATAAACACAATATACAAAGTACATGAGCATAGTAAGAAAGTGCTGACAAATTCTTTACTCCAATTCAGCCTTCATTTTTCCGTTGAATGAATGACACATATTTCAACACTAAAATGTTTAACATACACCAATTTAAGTAATAAAGTTAGTACATCAAACTACCTATATTCTCCTCATACTAATTCCCAAAGTATTTTGCAAAATCACAACACTAGTTTTCTTTTTTCATGCTCTTCATGGTGGTCATACGATAGATGATAGAATCTCTTCCAGGATCCATTCGCATGATAACAACTAAAAAATATAAGGAAACATTAAACAGTATCTTCAATAGAATGAAGTTTTTCCGTTTTTCCAAAAGTTTCATATCATTTACACATTTGCATTCAATCACCATCATACACACTTGTATCTCACTTTTGTAAGATGCATTTTTTTGCACAGTAAATATGATTAGTTGGTTATCATGAAATAAACACTATTAGTCAAAATTGACTCCAAAATACATCCACTTAAAGAAAAACATACTAAAAGAATTCAAATTTATATAATACAAATTCCCCTTAATTTTATGAATCAGATTTAAGATTGAACAATTAATTTCAACAAATTATAGAAATAGGATTTTGGGATTAATAAATCAAACAACCACATGAGTCAGCCAATATTGAATAATACTCCAAAAGTTATAATTAACACAGTAAAAAGTTTCATTAAACCAAATAACATATGAGTGGTTTCACTGTAACTCTAACATAAAAATAATATATTTGAAAGGTTTCATGGCCCCCTGTCCCACCACCTACATCCCTCTTCAGCCAAAAACGTGTTTTTTATTTATATTTTTTTGTCAGTTTTAAAAAATATTTTCTCCACACTAAATTGAAAGAGAGGGGAAAAAAGAAAAAGAAATACAGGAAGAAAAGGAAAGTGCCTGACAATGCTGGAACGGGCTTGAAAAAGGCTCAAATGTTCTTTTAAGGCATTAATTGTTGTGAAATGTTTCCAGATTTTTTCGATTATTAGGCTGTAGTTAAGAAATACAAATAATTACTAAGAATTACAAATAAATAATTACTAAGAATTACAAATAATTTTCACCATTTCCCCATCTTCAAATCGGCGTGACTTTAAAAATAACTGCAACAATTCTGTGCATTGATTGTGGTACCTACTAATATTATGAGTTTGGAATGTATTTACAAATTATCATTGATGCTTTTGATGAGTTTTGATGCTTTATAATCAATAAGATGCTAAGGAATGAAGTTTATATGAAATTATGGGCACAAAACCCTGGAAGTGTGATACTGGTTGATAGAGAATTACACCCCAGTCCTACATTGAACAGATTTCAGAAGAAAAGATAGATGCTTGCAGATTATGACAAAAACGAATTACTGCAACACACACAAACATGAATAACTGGAAAGTGATGCATCTTAGGGCTTTTAAACCAGGTTTGCAAGTCTCATGGGGGAAACAACTTTTTTTTGAGGGAAGGTAAATTCTGATAGATAATGTGTTCAGGGGGTAGTGTGGATGACAAATGGGGAATAATGAGAGACAGTTTGGGTGCAGGTGAAGGATAGATGGGGACAGTGGGGAAATGAAAGGGGACTGGTTGGACCTGGATTTTGTTCTAGACAGTATTCTTCAAAATATGACCTTTTTGAATGTTCTTTTACAATGTTGCAGATTTAGTTCTTTTGTGTTCCCCACTCCATAGCACGAGGGGACAGAAAAGAGCAGAAGCCAAAATAAATGTAAAATTGAATTGAAGGAAAGTGCCAAAATTATCTTTCACAATTAAATTAAACAGACTATTTTATTTTCTGTGTATTTTAATCTTCATGCTCAGCAATATTGGATAAGTTTTTCTTGCACAGTACCGGGCCTATAATGCTGTAAACCACATTTAAGGGGATGGGCGTTAGCAGTTGGGTACTGTTCTAAGACACGTCTACAGGAAAAATATGGTCCAATCTAACTGACCATGCTACATGTATTATAGATATTTTCAAGGTGCCACATGAGGGTTAATATTTGTTTCCATTACATTGCTGTAGTTGGATTATATTATTTGTTTTTCCAATTCTAGTGGCAATGTGGTAACAAAGCATAGTGGTCAGTGATATTTACATCAGATATCAGAATATTTCTATGGAATCAATGAAGTTGACAAAAAAACACATGCATCTATCAACCCTTGCCAAAATTTCAGTTAGCAAATGTTTTGTGAAAAATGATGTGCATAATACGACACATGACATCAAGTAAGTGTGTTAAGTAAACTTCAGCCTTTATATACTTTATAACTTTGCAGTTCACAAGAACAAACGTTACCTAGAAAGGAGTTGTTATTTAAAAAAACTAATCTTAATCAAGCATTAAGTCCTTTCTTTAAAGATCATTTGATACTTACGACATATTGCAAGAAGTGCCATTACAAATGTCACCATAAACCATAAAATAATATTAAAAATGACAGGATAATTTTCATCATAGGTAGGTGCAGCTTTTATGTCAATGGAAGAAGCACGTGTTGCTTCCGGGGAAGCAACTTGACGAACCTGGCGTGTATGGCTGACATCAGAGGTAATCATTGTGATAAGAACCTGAAATAAAACAAAATTATCGAAAGTCAACAAATCTTGGAATTTCGTAAAATTCATAATGTCTTAAAATTGTGAGTTGAAGATTCAGAAAGTGAGAATTATAAAAATGAGCATGAGAGATCAAACTGAATACAAGCTGATGATAAATATAGAAATAAAGATACAAATATTGTTTTGTTAGAGAGGGATTCTTGTCATGGGATTTTGTATAGTCCATTCAAAATTTTATGTTTCTACAAGATCGGTTCTAGTTCTTCTCTGTTCGAGTGACAATCAGACAATCTTTTGACATCCTCCCTGGTATTTGGAATCTAGGCGATTTTCTCTTGGTATCTTAGTTACTCGTTTTTGTATTTTTTCCAGACATTGTTTGTCTTTTTTATAATATGGGGACCAAACACAGTAGCACACTCCAATATGGGTTGAACATATGTCATGTACATGCAGTAAATCTACAATAGGTCTAGCCAGCTTTACTTCCCTGCCCCCTTCTAAAGGAAGGCATAAGAAGGAAGGCGAATGAAGGGAGGCGTACAAAGGAAATCATCCTCCACCTTCCATTCTCCTCTACGGGCATACCATGTTCTCCACTTTAACCTCGTAATTTTTACAATTCATTTAGATTGCCCATGCTTTGCTTATTATAAGTATGTACTAATTTACACACATTGCTCACTACCGCTCTCCAACAAAACATTGCCCCTATAAGCCTCTAATCATCCCTCAACCTCTTAACCGTGGATTCCCCCCCTCCCCACCATCATGTGTTGGTTTACACGACTTCATAAGTTGTACCATGTTCTAAATATCGGTCTAATCTTTTATTTCATTTATTAAGAAAAAAATGTATTATATGAAGTTAAAAAGTCCAAGAATAATGAATAATTCATTTTCTTATAAACACACTTTTTGTGTGAAGATGTATACTTACTCGCCCTTCATAGGCTTTTATGAAAGCTCTATTCATTTCATTAACAGTGTCTTTCAGAAGCTGCTCTGCTTCTACTGTGGCTGGAGATTCATCACTATGTAAATCCCAAACAGCATGCAAACCTCGCAAGACAAACCAGTAAACGTCAGGGATACCATCTCGGGAAATAGAACCACTTTCAACCTTTAACAAGAGTGTACACATTTAATAATCACAATCTTCAAATAATAATTGCACAAAATAATAATTTACCTTCTTCACAATGTCTTGAAGTAAAGATATTTCAGAAAGAAAGGCACGATCTTCTGTTACATTCAGATCCAGAAACTGAACATCAGGCAAAACTGTGTTATCTACTTCCCCAAATAAATTGTAAAATGGCACAACCTCAGAAATATATAAGATTTTAAATGCCCATTTCTGGAAAAGAACACTTATTTCAATCTATTAATATATACATAAAGTCATGTTTGGTCACAAGAGCATCACATCCCAATCCAAGAGGGCTACATGATTAATAAAATAAATTAAAACTAATTACAAAATAATTAAAAGATAAGAACATTTTAATATCTCAATTGTCAATGCTAACATAAATAAACAGGAAATGATAGGGTGAGGGGTTGGGGAAGAACATTTAAAAAGAATGAAGTTTTAAAGGACAGAAAAAATATGGTGTTCAAATAATCAAAATATTCATATTTTTAATTGATGCTAGATTACTGTTAAAAGTTAACAGAAGGAATACACAATTAGTGCACTTGACTACTGTTTAGTAATCATTTTGATGACAGTGAGAAGTAATCTACTGCAAGAACAGAATTGACATAATGTTTGGGCACTTAATAACTTCTGACACAGTAATTTCATTTTCAATTTTTATTTTTACTTACGTTAAAAATAAATAATTAAAAGGTAAAAAAAAATACTTGTAATAATTTGATTTGAAGATTTACATTTCATAGCTTTGAACATGCATTCTAAACTCCACCTGTGGTGCCTGTTAAGTGGATTGAGTAGTTACCAGCCCACTACCGGTCCCAAACCCAGATAGTGGATGAAGGTTTCTGAGTGAGGTTAGCAACATGCTCAGGGTAAAAAATGACACCGCTCAGAGCTCCAAGAATTTGCCTTGGATCAATCCTATATGCATGACAACTCTGGCAAGAAAGGACTACGAATGGGAAAAGGAATAACATTACAGGGATGGAACAAGGAATGTAAGATCATGGAATACAAGTGAATATGAAATACTAATGGAACTTAACAGGAACAAAATTGACATATGTTGCCCTACAGAAACTAGGAAAAAGGGGCAAGGAGTTACACAAAGGGGTTACTACACACGTATATAGTGGACATCCAAAACATCATAGAGCAAAGGAAGGTGTAGCAATCATAATGCACAACAAATATGTAAATTACAAAATTAAAAGTAACGACATCTCCGAAATCAACATTATATCTGTACACGCACCAGAAAATAATAAACCATCCCACAAAAAACAAAAATTCTACGATGACCTCCAAGAAATGATCCTAAGGAACCAGTAGTAACAGCAAGTAATATGAACGCCAGAGTAGGAAATCACATCATTAAGAACAGGTTCAATGAAAATGGAGAAACTCATATAGATTTCTGCATTAAAAATGTATTAATAAAACTATGAATTTTCGTGATGAAGAAAAATATTGCAAAAGAAAAATTGGAACACATAAAAAAGATAACCATTCAAGCACTAAGTGATAAATGTACCAGATATCTATATAAAAACAGAGTGGATGACAAAACCTGTCACAATTCAGTCCTTGATAATGCCAGTATAGAAATGTCTTGGTATAAAATAAAAACAAATATTACTCAAGCTGTTAAAGAGTCCACAGGAATAATAGAAACAAATAAAAAAAAATAAAGGAAACAAAAAACAACCTAGGTTTACTAAAGTGAAGGATACACCCCAAAAGAAACAAGCTGGATATACAAAATTCAAACAGAATAAAACACCAAAAGCACACAAAGAACATAAAAATTTCAGGAACAAAGTTAACGCAAGGATTAGAGAAATAAAGAAACGAAATTTAATTTATTTTCTGTTGATAAAATCCGATGCTATACATACGCTTAAAAGAACCACCAAAATTGTAAACAAGATTGACACAGCCTTTTAGATTTGTATCTAGTAACCAACATTGCCAAATATTAATTAGCAAAATATTGCCCGAGTGTGACTCTCATAAGTAGGGTCTATGAATACGAAACTGTATGTGTTCACTTATTTTAAGTAAATGCTTATTACTTCAGCATTTACTTATATAAGTGTCGACAATGAATATGGAGATTTATAGTTTCTACAAGATTCAAATGTAGGGATGTTGAGTGATCCAGCTATTGCTGTATAATCATGGGTTATATAAGCATCAGTCAAGTTTACAGGCAGCCATTCTAAAAAACCTGTGTTGGCTATTCTCTTAATATAGTTCTATAATCTTAATAAACTTATTAAAAATAATTAATAAAAAATTATAAAATATATTTTCCTGAAAATGACAAAAAAACTGACCGAGTGAATACTCAAAGTGGTCACCATTTGCGTTTATTCTTTTCAGTGTAATGGCTGCAGTACATTTAAGATTAACAAGGACAGAATAGTAAGAGGCTTCTGTTTCTTTCAACTGCAATTACCCACATTCACTCAGTCCAAAATCTGAGGGCATGTGACGGTGGGTTTCTAAAAGTGAAAGATGCCAAGGGTGTTTCATGAATTGACAAAGTGCCAAAACAAGAGGTGGTGTTTCCAGTCTTGGATTGCAGGTTAAGATAAAGACCAGGTGTGTCCTATCAAATAATGTTGTTTAGCTCACAGTAAGAAAACTTTGTAGAACAATGTTAAGTACTTACACTGTTTGGTCCTTCAGTCAATTCTACTCGCATAAGAGTATTATTTTGAGAGGGAAAACGATTTCTCACACGTCGTTCTAGATTCAGCCAAATTGTGTCTTCATCTTCATCAGTATTTAAATCGAAGTTATGACCTTTCACACTTTCAAGTTTTTCAATTCCATCAACAAAAAGAACAACAATAGCTTCAGCATAATGAAATGGATTGGTAATTTTCAGGCCAGACCAATCAGAATCCTTAAAAACAAGATGACAAAATTACGGTAAAAAAGGACATGAGAATTATATTAAGGTCTACAATGTGTTCATTACCTGATTTGTAGTAAAACCAAGGGATGCAGAAAAAATTTCCGTTAAGAAACTCTGATCTACTATTTCATTTCCTTTAAAGTATATATTTTTTGGGTGATGTATAAATGTCACATCTCCAGAACCAAAGGCTAGAAATTTAAGATAAAGATAATGATTCATGAGAGTAATATGTTTGAATACATTTTGTATTAATATACAGTATATTATTTAACATAAATTCATTCAATAATGTAAATTGATATTATACGTTTTCAATGAACCACATAAATTTTAATGATCACTAACCTGTCGCAAAGAATGCAACAAAACATAACACTAGCTTCATCATTTTTAACAGTTAAAAATAATCACCATGCAGAAAACAACACCGAAACAAAGTAACACCCAATTCTCTAACCCTGTGAAAACGAGCACAAGATCATATGATCACCAGCAAAGAGAAAAGAATGTTGCAAAACATCACAAGCAAAGTATCTGCTAGTTATTCTCTTTGAACTCATTTTCCACCTCGAAATGCAAATTCTGTGACATATTAGTGCTGCCCCGGCCGTAGAGGAGAGATACAAGAGGTATATCTCTACTCTATGCTCTTGGCACATCATTTCCGACTTCAGCTTCAGACATCAATTTGCGTCTCAATATTAGCGGGAATTTTAAATGCACGCAGATTCCAAATTTCACCTCGTTACAAGACATTGAAACAGATTCATGAAGCATTTCTTTTAAATATTGCATATTGTTCACCTTTATTGTGTTATTTTGTCTGATCACGTTTGAAAATTGTTACTTTTATCACTTTCAAAATGTTTCTAAACACTTCTCTCTCCAGCAGCCACCGTCTGGTCTGGCTTTTCCACGACCAGCATTACCCTCACGAAGTATACAGGATCGTGACAAAATTTGTATATTATTTGTATATTTGACATTTAATGTCTCCGAACTTTGTGGAAATTCTTTGAACTTTGACGAACGTATTAAGGCGATTCAATATGGATGACTCACAAATAGTAGTGTTTATGCTGCTTTGTACTTAATAATAATTAATATATGTTTAAGTTTGAAGACGTAAAAGGTAAAGAGGAAACGTTTGAGGGTAAGGCCGTAGATTAACATCATCCATATCCATCCATGGTGAGCCTGTAGAACAACTTCATGCTATTCATACATGGAGAAGCAATGGGTCATAGATTGTGAAGTATTAATTAAAATATAATTCAATTTGTTTTGTCGTTCTTCTTCCTGCTTTCAAAATTGGGTCCTCTGGTTTTGAAGTTAAAAAATTAATTTCATGAATTGGTGATTTTCAAAACCTTACATTTTCCACTTCTCAAGAAAATGTATCATACGCGTTAATTGGTTCGGTTTTATTTTTGTTGTCCTGATGGACACAATTATATAAACATTCAAATTGATTATACTCTTCAATTAAAAATTTCGTTGAATCAATACCCCACCTATATGTGTCGGACGAAATGTTACCAAATGTATGATCAAACTTGGATGTTTCAAGCATAGTACAAACTGGCAACGTCCTGGCGCGTAACATTGGCGTTAGTGATGCCTAAGCTTTTTTCTTGTTTTTGAATTTTTTCGTTGTGTTCTGAATCACTTCCATCGCGATGGTGAATATTCGTGTTGTGTTTGGATGCAATTTTTCGAATTCGTTACTCAATGGGGAAAATGGAATTTCAATACCAGTGGTGGCTTATGCTTGGGTTGCACGATTGCACAACTCTCAGATAATCGTAAAATATATTTTTCGTAGGAATACACTTTTACCTTTCAATGGCATTCAATATTCAAGATATGGCAGCAATATCGATGTATATGAAATGATTTTGAAACCAAAGAGCGTCCATATGGCGCTTTTCTTTTGTTTGGCGCCTTGCCGGGTATTGCACCACGGTCTCGGCTCTTGGCGGTATTACTCGGTTTACTTCATTTACTCTCTAGCTCTTCGATTTAACGCAGGGGACATAGACCATTTTAGTTGCTCAACCAGTTGATGGCGCTGTCTAGCTCTGCGCACTGACCGAAGGAGTCTCAGGGGAACCCCAATATTCTGTCAGACTCGCTGCAACGTAGTTTTATGAATTTCCCTTGATACTGAAAGTACACAAGTTCAGTGTATTATTGACGATATCCAATGCATTGTTTATGATATTTGGAATTTTTTTCATTTGATATTAGGTTTGTTGATTCAAAATGTACATTTGATAAGATCTTTGTGTAAAGATGGCAGTTCTGGTCTCGCGGAAGCAAGTGTGCCTGCAGTGAATAGCAAGGAGTGAAATTAATTCTACTAGCCAAAAAAACCAAAACAAAACTAAGTGAATATATATATATATATATATATATATATATATATATATATATATATATATATATATATTGTAACGGTATGAGTCGAAGTCGAATGAAGAATTTCTATGAAAAAAAGGAAAAAAGCGGACGCCCGCGACGCAGCTGCGAAAGGGGGTTGTAGGTACCCACGCCCTTTCGGCTATAGAGGCGAGGGGTTGCATGAGATTTTTATGGTAGGACACCCCCGCGTGGTGCCGAAGGAGGGCTTTGTCAGCAGCCGGGTCCTCGCCAAATGTAAAGTGGGTTTCTCATACTCACCCCCGCGACCGCTCGTCAAAGGGACTCAACGCTATTGCTCCCACTCGGAAAGACAGATTTACGACCTAACGGACAGTGGCGCACGTGCGGGTTCGAAGTAGGCCAGACCCACATATTTTCGCCGGCAACGAACTCTCTGGCCGTTAGAAAAAGGAGATCCCACTTCATTGGTTAAAACATGCCCCAACCCTGCGCCGCGGAATTCAACCCCGCGTATCGGGAGGATCTTCGCTGGAAGAGAGGGGGTACCGAGGCTTCGTGATTCGGAAAAGCAGCTCTCACTGACACTTCTATTTGTGACTTCTAGTTGTCACTTCGATCTTGAACTTCGATTTGTAACATTGCACTTTTGAGCTTCTACTGGTCACTTCGACTTCAACTATTAACTTATGCGTCTGCTGTTAAACTGCTACTTTGGCTTGGAGTTGTCACTTAACATTCGAAGCTTCTTGCGGAGGGAAGTTGACCCCTCGCGCACTCAATCTGAATTACTCTGAACTTAGGGCGAGAAGAGACGTAGTCCTGGAATGGGAAAGGTTCTCACTGGCCGTGTATGGTAGTAATCCAGTATCGGTGCGCCGTAGCACGCGGTCACGCGCCTAAGTTCAATTTATCACGTCTACGATTGTCGTCCGCGACTGCCCATTCGGAACGCGAATGACGTCCAATCCGTCATCGCCGGGGAACACCGTAGCAATTTTTAAAAATAACAAAAACAAGATTTTCTTTAAAATGGCACCAAATGTTTCTTCACACTTTTGGTAGGAAAAGTGCTAAATGTCTAGGAGATGACATAAAGGTCATCGTGCTCTGTTTTGTTTTTTCAAAAAATACAAAAACGTATTTGTTATTATCTTTCACACTGTTAATATTTACATCAGCGGCCATTTGGTTACATTATTGTATTTATCAGAATATGTGATTTAAATAAATAATGTATAAAGTTTCTTGGAAACTGTTAAATTGTACTCAAAATTCCGCATTTTCGATAACGCTCAAACGTCACTTTCACAAAAATTGCTTCACATGTTTTGTTGAAACTATTCCAACGGATAGATATCATTGCACTGTTCAATATGAACTAATGTTCATTTTGGGGGATTATTTTGGTTTTCAAAAATGTCGCAAATGTATTTTTTTTAAATATCTCCCGCGCAGTTAATATGCACATTTCTAGCGATTTGTAAAAAATTATTACATTTGTGTGTTAAATTGCTTTAAATGACTTCAAATAAAGTTTTTCGAAAACTCAAAAATGTTATGTGACAAAGAACTTCTAATTTCGCATTTCCAGTAACGCTCAAACGTCATTTTCTTAAAAATGGCCCCAAATGTTTCACTGAAAATTGCCATTTAGTACGACGCGTTACTGTTCTTTTATATTCTTAAAGTAATATTTCGGTTTTACTTTTAGGAAACCGAAAAATTGTGCACACTTCAAAAGGATATACTTAAGACGGTGATAGATGGCAGCTAGCAAGAGTGTGTGGCAAGACCGAATAACTATAAAACTACTACGAGAAAGTCATGTTGTGGACTCACTAGTTACTTTCTCGTATACGTACGTATATACAGATTTGTGACGGATTGCTTTAGTGATTCCGGGCGCATCAACTAACAGAGTCATTAGTCCCGTACGTGTAGTGTATATTTTGCTCTGGAGGTGGGGGTGATCTTTCCTTCGCTGTATGGCGAGATTCGGCGCCGACCTACCGTCGCCTACCGGTGTTTTCTCCAACCCACCAGCCGGGCATCTCACCAGCAGCAGGGCAGCAGCATCTCCCACGAGCAGGGCACCGCCCCAGCCGTGAAAATCTAAGCTCCCGACTGGTCTCCCGTCGTGTTTGCTTGTGTAGTGCGTGTTAGTGTGTGTGTAAGGGTAGAGGATAGGACAAGGAAAACCTAATTTTGCATGATTGTCACAATTGGATGTGTCACGGCGTCTGTTCAAATTTTAAAATATAGTGTACCTCATTGATATTCAATGAGAAACGTTGCTATTATCAAATATATGAAATTACTGATTTGATGCAAGTGGCCTGAGAATTGAAGTAAATTCTGGAATGTGTGAAAACTAGAAATTAATACCTTCCTATAAAAAAGGACTTGAGTAATTGATTCTCATAACTTATTGTGCACGGAAAAAAGACAAAGGATGTTTTAATTTTACGTTTAAAGATGAATTTATCAGTAAATGAATTTATTTAATTTGATACAAAGAGATGATATAAATTAATGAAATTTTTTAAGAGACACTTGGAAATGTGTCACAATCTTAGTTCATATTTAGCTTATCTGTAATTAAATCCCGTAGGACAACATTTTTTCATTCTACAAACATAAATTTAAGAACAAGGACCTTTCTGAATACTCAAAATACATTAATTTACTAATAGAATCAGAGAAGTGACAATGAAATTTGATATCCCTGAAAGAACATCAGATTGCTGGAGGTTCTACAATTCTCTTCAATTATAAAATAAAATGTGAATGATTTCTTTAATAAAGTTGTTAAGTATAGCAAAGATTAATACTTGATAACTACAAATGCATCAAAACATTGGAGTGTATAACAGTGCAAATAAATATGACGTCAACTTTTTTCACTTATACATGCTACATTTAAATGTGAATGCTGGTGTGTAACACCTCATTGAACAAACTAACATTACCAGAATTTCTTAAACTCACAATACACACACACACATTCCTGTTCTGCAAAAAGCTGAACCTGAAATGAATAATAAATTATACGTTAAAATTAGATATTTTATTCGAAAAGAAAATACTGGACGTAACCTGACAATTTACCGCTTACTTCTAATTGTAAATGGACATTCTTAGGGGAAGAAATTCTTGCAGAAGATATTATTACGTCCTTTGTTCACTTAAAAGATGTCAAGATTTTCCCCAGGGATATAATTCCCATTGATGAGGCACTATTTCACACTCAAAACTACAAGGTACCACACAGTTGTTTTTGCGATATTTGATTGATTTTTTCTCAAAAAACGCTCTAATTGTTTTTAAAAATTTTCCTCACTTATGTAATTAGAAACGAAAAGGAATATGGTGCTAGTCTCATTTTCGGGCATTGCTCGATTTTTCGAAAATGGCAAAGAATTCAAAACTACAAAATTGAAGATAGAAAATTTTGCCTCAGATAAAGTCTTTTGTACAAAATACGCCATTTAGAAAAGGTCATGTACAAGTTTTGGAAAAAACTAGTAGATTTTGCATAATTTCTGCTTGAAATTCATGAAATATCAATAGGTTTCACACCAACTACGTGCCACTAAAACAATTGAAAGAATGACAAGAAAAATAATTTATTTAATTTTAATTGTGATTTACTATTGAAAATGCCAAAATTAATTACCTTTTTACTTTCTCGCTTTTTGGTGGTGATAAGATACAGCTGATTTATTTAGTCCAGTTGGTGGTGGTGACTGAAAGCCATAACTTCCGTTCGCAATGAATTTTCGCAGGAGGTGAAACGGGTCTTTGATCATGATCAACGAATGTGTTTAACTCGTGTTAGAATAAAATTAAATGTCCTCAAAGTTGGGATGGGAAAGACTGTATGGTTTCATCATCATTCTCATCATCAATCTCAATATCATTCCAACATCATTGTCAATAACTAACACGAAGTAGTTGAAGGATGTAGTCTTGCAAGTGCCGCTTCATTTAATCCCTTCAACGTGAACATTTTTTAACAATTTGGGGATTTAGAAAAACATTCAGCATTCCTTAATCAATCTCGCATATGTAATATACATGAAACTAAAACGGAAATAGTTCGAATGGTCTCAATGTTCATTGAACAAACATTAAAAGTACTTTGTGTAAACGTACATGCAATAATGTTATAATGTCTAATGTCATAAAATAACAATATGATCTACAACCCAACTTGTAACACACGAAGTTTTTCAGGTGAACATGTACTGTCACAACGTGCTCCACAACGTGTCTCAACCTCCCCCAACCTGCTCTACATTCATAATTTCACATATTATAAAAAAATATGAAAGTCGTAAGTATTTAATTTTAACTCCTTCTTTAGTTAAATAGTTAATAATTATATTGCATTTACAATGCAAGAGCAAGAGAAAATCTTGATTATTTATAGAGCAATGAGCATTTTAACTTTTGTATATCAACTTCCCCTATTTTACTCCACGCACAAGACATTTATCGTTTCCAGCAGGGGAGTGACACTACAGCAGGGACTTGCGATTTTCCTTTCTAGGTATCTCCCACCAGCGGAGAAAAGCGGGGCACCACTTCAGGGACAAGCTCTAAGGCTCCTCCTGATCTTCTGAAATGTGTGGTTGTGTAGTGTTTGTGGGGTATGCGTGAATAAGGTGAGGATAGAACAAGGAAGAGTGATCGCGCGCGCATGTTCCGTTCCTTAGGGAACTGCTCCGGCATCAACCTATTGTTGTTCGTAGAAACCACTGAAAACTGCTGATCAGAGCATTCGGCCGCAAGTATTTTCCTCCAGACAACAGTGGAAATCGATCTAACTTTTCAGGTAGCGTCGAAAATGTGTTACAGGTGGGACTCGAACCATGGCACTTCCCAGAGAGGGGCGCTGCAGAGTCAGCGGCAATACTGTTTCGATTCTTGGAAATCGAGTTGAGTCAAGAATATTTTTGAATTCATGATTGAAAACTAAATGTGTAGTGGGAGTAAGAGTGTTAAAAAGAATATTGAGTATTTATTTGTATACGTGCATGTTGGATAAGAGGTTTAAAATCGTTTTCTCGTACGTTATATACCGTTTTTTATGTTTCTTGACGAAATAAATTAAATTAATTTTGGGTGTCTTTTATGTTAATATAATAATTTATATTAAAATAAGTGTCAAGTTATTAAAATAATTTATTACTATAATAATTTATTATTATAGACCCACAATGGTTCAATTTTATAACTAAATATGTCATTTTCTTAGTCATAGTTTTATCACCTAGAATTACGGAACTATAAACGAAGAATAATTATTTAAAGGTTTTGGTAATCACATAATGTATTACGTTTTTGGAACAGAAATGGTAAGTCAAAATTACTAGAATTATGAGGGGTCAACTGGTAGTCCGTTTCACTCCGTCATTTACATATAAGTAGGAACTATAGTTCGTATTATATTCTTATATTTCATGTGTACCTAAAAGTAGAATGGGTGGATTTATCACCAACTCGTAACATTAAGTTGGGTACAACTGAGAGAAATATAAGCGTTTTAATGATTTTTAAATTAACCATGTCAAATTAATACATTAAAAAAATTGTTATAATAATGCATGAGTTTTTGATTGCCCAAATAACGTGTGCCACCTGCCGACAATTTATTGTCTATAGATATTATTGATACTTTTAATAACGAACTGATGTAGAAAAAATAGTTACAGACAAGAAATTCATGTGAATATTTCTTCTGGTTAAAATAATGGATCGCAGACGTAAACAAGTACTTATGCATGTGTGAAAATATTAGGAATAAAAGTAATTAATGTAATATTAAGGAAAATAGGATTTTTATTTTCATAAAACATGTACAATCGAATCCACAGGCTCAGTCTGACTGATAAAAATATTTTTTTCACATTTACTCTCAGGAACATTAAAAACATTGCCTCTGCAATTATCAGCCCAGTTATGAAATATAATGAAGCATTATCTAAAATATGTTCAGAAATGTCCTCTTCTCCACAATATTTACACAATCAAATATATATTAATAATTTATATTTTGAGACCCAGGGCATTGATTTGAAATTCATTAACAAAACAAAAAACGAAACTGAACAAAATAATACAAATAGGTACTACCACTAATGCAATTTGTATTATTTTGTAAAGGTTTGAAATGTTCTTTGGTTTAGTTTTCCAAGTAAGTATTAAAAATAATTTTCCTTTTCAAATTTTAATGTAACATTCATTACCTGATCTGCAAAAATGCTGTTGAATTCTTTATTTTTTACTCTAATATATTTAGCCTTTTCAAAGAAATCATTCAAGAAAATTGCTTAAATGTTGACGGTTCATTACATAGCATTGCATTTTATTTCAATTAAACAATTTATAATCTGTGAAATACTAAATTAAAAAAAGAACCTTAGATTATAAACTTTGTTATATTTAAAAGTATCATTGGATTCCCTTTCCATATCACAATGAACTTGTGTAACGTATCGGTAAGTTCTGGAGTAACTGAAGATCCATTGTGGTCACTATTTCTTGTTTAATTATGTATTTTCTGCGCGAATATAGCTCAAAAAAAATTTGCTTTCTTGTTGTTTCCTACTTCCCAAGCACAGATCTGCTAAATTATTCGCAGACTGAGAACAATTGTATGAGAAAAAGCACCAAAACAGGCGATATGAGGTATCTAATACCTTTGACTTTGACACTCTTCAAAAGGTGTCATCTTAATGAACTTTCAACAATCTTTCGTCCTTACATACCTCATAACTACGTATATACACTCAACTTCCACATTTGTACTTCATATAATACTGACCTGGAACTCATTCACGACCTTAGCAAATATTCAGTCATTTTCCATTAAACTACTTCGTATACTAAATTAAGGCTCTGACAGACCGGCGCAGGAAATCCTCAGCGGGTGCGGCGCGGAATGTTCCGCGCTAGACGCGGCGGCGGAATCCGCGGCACCGATCACACTGGAGCGTCAGTTATCACTCAGCGTTTGGTGACAGTTTTCCTCATACGATAATCAAAAGCAAGGGGAGGTCGATCCAGAGGGGAGCGAAGACATCCGAGGGCAGGCTGACTTCCACGATCCTCGAGCGGCAGCGGTTGAAACCCGTCCGACTGCTTTTCCAAATCTTGAGGCAATTCCGCTGCCGCGACGCTCTCCTGACGCGGAGGTCTGAACGTACTCAAAAGGCAACACGTGACGCGACATTTCACGTGGGCAGCGAATCTTCCGCGCCGGTCTGAGAAAGCCTTTATCGAAAATTATCGCGGGGGTATCATTATACTCACACACGAAAGATAGCTTCGGCCGCATCGTAAGTTGAGGAGCCGTTGAATTTAATTTGCGGCGACAGCTTTAGAACAATGCTGAAAATACGATTGATGTACCCTCTGGAATACATGGAAACTTTACATCAGGTTGTAGTTGGAGAAACGGGAGACGCACTGAGCCGTGCCGGAATATTGGTGATGTTGCTGCGATAACGAAATATTGCTTTTTTGAGCCCTTATCGTTCGCCTGAACGTTTCGGAGTGTGTCGGAAGCGACCCCGTCGCCGCTAGCGCCCGACATGACCCCCTTGGATTTTACTCCTGAGGTTTCGCAGTCGTCGTTATGGGAACCTGCCGGACGACGCACATAATACACGCACATCGTGCCATAATACGGTCATGTTGACATAAGCACGGGCAAAATTTTGGTTATGTGTCCTGACACCTGTTTGCGGCAGCAAATTCATTTGCGTCAGCAATAAAGGAGGTAAATGCTACACTTGCTGTTTTGTGAGTTCGCAAAATTTCTACAGCGTCTCGCAACCCGTCTTTCCTCTGCTCTGCCGCTGGGTTTGAACTTATTTCCCGTTCGGCGCCACCGTTCTGACCGTTCCACAGTTGACCGTTCACCACGCAACGTTCCACCGTACAGACAACGCTATTAGAAAATACGGTAATTGCCTATTCGCTTGCAGCGAAACCAATTATGCTCGTCAATGCTCACTGAGCAATGACTTTGAAACGATATACGTCGTTCTTTGGGTAAATTGTTGTTTTGCGTGTTCGCGAGGAATGTTGCAAGGCATACAACTACCCTTTTGGGGTAGCTCCGAATACAGCATATCGCAATGTGCATTATTGGTTCTTGTCATGTTTTCTCAGGCTTGCGATCAATCTTGGTTTCTCGGGCCACTATCGTCAGTGGTGAGTCACTGTCATATTTCACTGCCGGGGCAATATTTTTCGAACTGGTCAACGTGCCCAGAGATCATCGTCAATAGTAGCGAGGCAATTGTCAACGGATGGCATCGTCGGAGGGGGGACACTTCTTTTTATCGACTACATAGACGAGTAAAAGTAGACGTTAAAATCGCCAGAAGCAGCCAACTTGTCGACAACATGGCGGCAGCAGCTGAGCTGCGTCGTCCGGTGTCTGGTTGGGTTTCGTGCAAGCGACTCTTGTGCGGCGCCCCGCTGAGAACGGTCTCCTGCGATGCCCCGACGCTTGCCACCTCGTTGGCGCTGGTGTCCTCGTGAGCGTCTTCGTGGCCGCTCTTGTGGGTGTCTGTGGGGGCCGCTCCGGCGCGGATGTCGGCGTCGAGGTCATCGTCGTCGTCGGGCGTCCAGTCGCCGCAGCGTGGGAAGCCCCTGGGTGCGGGCGGGAACTCCGAGTGTTCTCCGATCTTGAACACGAGCGCCATGCCGATTTCCACGTGGAACTCGATGTGGCAGTGGAAAAGCCAGTAACCTGCAATCAGAAGACAAACAACGAAGCAATCAGTTTTGTAATAGATGACTGAGCGAAATTCATGGAAGGAGAGACTCAGAATTGCCTCGATTCATAAAACTGTACCGTTTCATCGACATAACGGACCCAAACACAAGGAAAAATGCTTGTGATGTTACAGAATTGCACAAACCTTCTCGTATTACATGTTCTACTTTCTTTGGTCTATTCGGCACACACTCTTGTGAGCTCTCAACTATCGCCGCTCAAAGTAAATGTTTTTGAAATGTTCTTAAATGTTCAGTTTTCTAATAGTAGAACTGAAATATCGATTTAAGAATATTAAATAACGTGAAAAACCTTGTCCTATATGGCAATTTGTGTTGAAAACTTTGCAGCCGTTTTTAAGAAAATGGCGTTTAAGCATTACTGTAACTGCAGAATTTGTATATCTTTTTCATAGAAACTTTTTAAGTTTTCGAAAAACTTGATTGGAAGTCATTCAAAGCACTACCACTCACAAATGCAATAATGTTTACAAATCACGGGAAATGGGTGTATTAGTTTTTCAAAAATTACACAAATGTATTTTTTTTAAAGATATCTCACGCTGTTAATGTGCTTATTTCTAGCAATTTGTAAACACTATTTTATATAGGTGAGTTAAAGTTCTTAAAATGACTTCTGATAAAGTTTTTCGAATACTCAAAAGTTTTAAGTAAAAGAGCTTCAAATTTCGAATTTACAATACTTCTTAAACGCCATTTTCTTAAAAACTGATCCAAATTTTTCAAAGAAAATAGACCTTTTGGACGAGGTTTTACTGTTCTTTAATATTTTAAAAATATTATTTCGGTTCTACTATTAGGGAATAGGTTTAAAAAAATACTTTGGGCTGCTATAAACGCCAAGAGCTGCCTGAAATAAACTAATACGAAGAAGTCTGTCCCATTCGGTAATAACACAACTTTCTCGTATACGCACGTATATACGGAATAATGTACGTAGTATTGAGACAGTTATGTAATGCGCGATAGAACGGTGAATTTTCAGAAGAAAAAATCATTGCCGTTCCCTTAAAACGAGAAAGTAGATACATTCAGTTGCTATATAAAGAAAAAAAATCCTTCAACAGCAGTTTAGCCAGGAACCCTGTTTTGTGGATCCTTGATAGAGAAAAATCAATTGGCAATAAAATGCCCGTCCGTCTGGTGTATGTGAACAACATTACCGTCTAAATTAAGCTTAGGGGCTAGCCAAACAGAAGAGATTCCTGTCACTCTGCCTTGAGACAAAAATTTGCGATTTTGAAAACCATTCATTAATTTTTGGGGATACTTTACATGAAAACCTTAGAACATTTTCAAAATTTTCTCAAACATGGTTCCAATTTTTTAATTTATTCAAAAGAATGGACTAAAATACACTTATAAAGATACCATAGATCGTTTTTGCAATGTTTACTCTTTTTGGAAATTTCAAAAGTTTGAATTTTTTTCGGCGTCTTCATACAACTACAAAACTGAAGAAAGAGATTGTTCTTCAAATTAAATTTGCTCCATCTTCAGTTCTTTTATTTGAATCAGGTACATTTTTTGAAACTTTTACTACTTTTCGCGTGCAATATGTGCAATATTGCGTGCAATATGTACAACTTTAAAAAGTTAAATAAAAAAGATTTTCTCACATAAGGCTCCAATTGTTTTAACCTTTTGGTAAGGATAGTGATAAATGTACTCTGTAAAATGACATAAACTCCATATTGCTCAATTGTTTTGTTTTTTAATTAATACAAAATTTTAATTTTCTGACTTGTATCTTGCGTTTTCGTTAATATTTACATTAGCGGCGATTTGTTCACATTATTATATTTATTTATACATGTGCCTGATAACGTTCCTCGAAAACTCAAAAGTTTTCTGTGAAAATATATTAGAAATTCCGCATTTCCAGAAACGTCAAAACACCATTTTCTCAGAAACGTTTTCAATTTATTTCTTCACACTTGATGTACGGTTAGTGCTAATTGATTTATCTAATATGACATAAAATTAATTATGGTATATTCTTTTGTTTGAAAACTATACAAACGTAACACATAAACGCGTTTTTTAAATATCTCACATTCTGTTTATATGCATATTGCCAGAAATTTCTAAATACTATTGCATTTGTGAGTTTGTGTTTCTAAATTGACTTCTAATGGAGTTTTTGGAAAATTCAAAAATTTTCTGAGCTTCAAATTTCGCATTTACACAAAGGCTAAATCGTCATTTTCTTAAAAAGCGGCTTCGAATATTTCAATAAAAAATTGCCATTGATGACGAAGTTTTACTCTTCTTTAATATTCGTGAAGAAATATTTCGGTTTTACTATTAGGAAACCGAAAAACAGCTAATAACATAAAAAAATGTCATTTGGGCGGCGAGAGAATGCAACTGGTAAAATAATGGAGCAGCACCGAAAAATAGCTGAGACCAAAGGCTTTAGAAAACTAGTACGAGAAAGTCTGTGCCATTCTGCAGCTCCACTAGTTAAGAATGTTTTTCAAAATGGCAAAGCTTCGAGTCGAGCCAGATCAACCAGGGAATATCCATTTTGAAAAAGATCTGACGTATGGTTTAGGTGCTAGTTGTGTTCATAGATGAACGGACAGGCCGATGGACAGACAGATGGACGGACAGACGGACGGATGTATGGACAAATGGACGAATGGATGGATGGACAGACAGGCAGAGGGAAGGACGTTTAAAAAAACACTGTTTTGGTACAAGGGACCCTAAATTGTGTATTTTCGTTGAAATGATATATCAATTTTCCCCAGCATTACATATCTTTCTCTTTACTACTCCATATATATGTACGTATACGAGGAAGTAAAAAAACACAAAAACGTGAAGGTTGGCGTCCTTTTAGCAGACTGCTGTCCATTAAGAACAATAGAAAAACAATAACTTTAGATAAAGTTTGTAATAGAGGTACGGTACATGACCATAACTAGAAAGGGAATTTAATGAAGGAGAATGCAGAATGAAGAAATTAAAATGTCAAGTTCATATCAGGATGTTCCGACTCTTCAAGTTCGATTATTTCATCACGTCAACCTCTTTGGTCATTTGTGCCGTTAAGTGTAAAGAATGTTTCATCGCGGTAGATGGCGGTATTCCTCTCTCCCGAAGGATGAAGAAATGTGGTTCCGACCTACACGTGGACTTGAAGGAGATTTCCTCCTAGATATCGCCATCCACCGCAGCATCTTCTTATCTGGGCCAAGGTCTAACCTTCCATTATATGTGATAGTGAGGGTAAGTAAAGTGTGTGTGTGTGTGTGTGTGTGTGTGAATAAGGGGAGAGGGTAGGATAAGGATGAGGAGGGAAATGTTGCGCGCGTTCCATGTCCCGTTTGTTAGGGTTCTATTCCGTCATTCGCATGTTGTTGATTGGATAAACCACCAAAAAAACAACAAAAAAACAACAACAACGATCAAAGCAGCCAGCCGCTAGAATTCTCCTCCACTCAGCGGCTGAATTCGATTTAGCTGTGTAGCTAGTGTTGAAAATCCACCATCGTCGGACCCCGAAACCTTAAAACCTGTCAGTCAGTCATTGCAGAGGCAGTGGTAACACTGACTCTGAGATGAACTCTGCCGGTCTGAGATTCGATAAACTAGCCTATGTTATGACGGGACCCAAACAAGTAATGGACCCGCATTCGCTTGGTTCTGCGGTTGCATCGCGAAGCTCCTTGAACGGTTCCACCAAACACTGCCGTGTGGCGCACTCACCGGGGTTGCTAGCTTGCACGCGGAGGATGGTGTAGCCGCCGTCGGGGACCGTGCAGGTGTCCTTGAGCGGCGCGGCGTGCAGCTTGCGCTTGAGCAAGCCCTGCTCGTCCAGGCGCTTCACCTCCTCCAGCGACGTGGACTCGCCCAGGCGCTCCATGCCCACCACGCGGAACGCGTACCCGTGCAGGTGGAACGGGTGGTTGGCGTTGTACGTCACTCCTGCCAACAAAACCACAGCCGCAGGTACCAAACTATTTCCACTTTTAGGTAATAGAGAATTTTGATTTTGGTTTCGGTTTTTAACAATATGGTTGGGATTTGCAACGATTCCAAACAGTTTTCAATATGTTTATTAGAACATTATCCTGTAGTGAAAATATAGAATTTATGTTTTTATTTTTTACTGTGACGAAAATCGTTTCCTATATTATTTCAGTAGTATACATTCCTTTTGCGGCGCTCACACGCAACCGATCTTTATGAATGAAGTCTCTAGAGAAAGAGAATTTCACGGAGACGTGACTTTGACTTTACAAATGTTAAGGATTTGCTTAAAAAACGCATCCAAATATTCATGTCACATGCATCCTGAAGCACCCAGTCAGATATATCGTTAAATAACTCCTACACGAAGCGTTCTACGGCCTTAAAAACTACAATTTTGAGGCCTAGAGCCTCAAAGAAACGTTTCTCTTCTCAACTTTAATCTTCAGGATGAGGAATTGTTGGACATTCTATTGATTTTTTCTGGTTCGGTACTTATCGATATTACCAATGCCTCCTATATTTTAACCTTTGGCGAAGGTGGCCATCTTTGTGACGACACGCTTAGAAGGCTTAGATTCCTCTACCTTATAATAATTATGCTTTCTGTGTACATCGTGGTTTACGCAGACTAACGAGCTTTTTTTGCATAATTAATAATACAAGATTCGCTCTCGCAGCAACATCTAGAAATACTATTAATAGTAGCTTGATATCGATGAAGACTGTTTCTTATGCGTGTAGTTAAAACATTCATTTAACGTTTTACCGAGGTCTACAAGTGCTGTGTACCTAATTGTGGAGGGATGTGGATTCTGTGAAGAATGAAGACGTGTACGTTTGGTCGTCGTTTTACCTTTTTTTTCGTTTGATAACGAAAATCAGCAGTGATTTGGTGAAACTTTCAAATTAGTGTGTTTAGACACGTAGCTTTCTCAATGATAAAAAGCTTTTTACATATTTTGTGACTATTACTAAATGCGAGATGCTAACTGTCAAAGAATATTGAATAATTACTTTGTATATTTTAAAGAAGTGTCGTGAATTGTTCCAAGAAATCTCTCGTAAATACTGAGTAAATTTCTTTTCAACATCAATTACATTGGTTTTTATTTCTATTTGATATTGTATTAATAAATTGGAATTTGGATTATACATTAAAAATACATTAAAAAATCTTTCCCTCTCAGAATGGAAATATAAGGAAAGAGAAGAGTGTGGGGTTTGACATGCGAGAGTTCTCGCACGGTATACGGAGGTAGTAGGGGAAAACTTGTGTTACACAAAGAACAAACTTTTTAAATTAACTGAAGTAAAATAGCTTGAAATAAATGAACAACAAAAATCAATCCGCGCTAGCCTACAATGCTATGTAAACTAATTTTAAAAAGCAATCAAATTTAATTATAAGAAGAATAGCGCAAATCATCTGCCTTAAGGTGTCGGTTCATTAAGATATCCAATCCATAAACATCGTTTTAGCAACATTCCCATGTACCGAAGTGAAGTCTTAACTCTGTTATTTTTTGGCTTGAAATTACTTTTGTCCAGGTACGTAAGAATGCAGAAAATAACCCATACTTAAGTCTCGCATCCCAGCAAGCTGGCACATGCCCATCCAAAACCCCCTCTCTTCCTGATAATAAATCCAGGAAAGTTGAATAATATTGCTAGGAGTAGGGTTGTACTTGCCCGATTCTGTATTTTCGCATTGAAAACTTTACTTGGCTTTCTCAAGAGCAAAAATCTTTTCTAATATTTTTGTGACTACCAAGAAAAGCTAACTGTCAAGGAATATTGAATAATTGCTTCAAATGTTGTTTTCAAGGAAGTGAGAATTGTCCGAGGAACTTATTATTATAATACTTAATAAACCATTATTGAAAATTTGTTTCCAACATCAATTGCATTGTTTTTATTTTTTGTTTGATATTCTCTACGTACGAAATTACATTTATACATTTCTTTTACATAAACACATTTCATTAACAACTTTCCTTCTTAATGGAAAGGATAGGGAAATAGAGAGGGAAAGGGTGGGGATAAACATGCGTGAGTTCTCGCACGGGTACGCTAGTATTTCTTAAATGCGTGACTAAGATGTGTTTCTTTATGAATTCTTGAGCATATATTTTAAGAGTTGTTATGAAATAGTTTCTCTGACTCAGGTATCCAATCAAAAAGAGAATATTGTCATTTTAGATGTTTGAAAATTGCCCGAAAACTGAACGTTCTAGTCAATAGTCACTCTGTGCAAGGGCATCATAACAAGTTACAAGAAATGAACATATTTTAATAACCGTAACCTTTTCTTTCGGTTTGACCAATGAGGTTTCATTAAAATATTTAATCAAAACTATTGATTTTGGTTTCACTATTGAAACTGTTTTTAACACTATTTTCACTATTTTTGGGTATTAGTGACGTTAAAATTAGTGAGTCAATGGAAGTGCTGTCGACTTAATGGTACCTAGTAGTGACATAGGGAGTGTAGAGCTTTGCACGTTTTTAGAATTTCTCTAGAGCGGAGGTTGAAGAAAATCTCTAGAAATGTGGAATCCAATCTCTAACTTAAGCGTAAGTTCGTTGCACTAATCATTTCGGAATTATATCAAACCGCTCATTTATGGACGAAATGACCTTCAATAATTATGGTAGAAAATCAAAATGCCGAAGGTATAATCAGAGGAAACCGAAGGCAGTATTTTGCGAAGTAATTCACTGTCCTATCAGAAACAATAAACAGCAAAACAAGACGGATAAAAAAATATAAGAACATTTTGAACAGTTTTTTTAGAAGACAACCCTCAAAAGTTTGTTCTGGCAAATATGAAATGTTTATTTAAGCTAATTTGGTTTCTACCTTTAAGGGAGAAAAAAAGATATTCTCGTACCACGAATAGACAAAAGTTCTAAATACGAAAGGTTAGATATCTGGGTCATCCGAACTCTAGGAGTTTTACACTTCGAAAATACATTTACAAGTGGCGCGAATACGAATCCTTCGAACGCATTCGAGTAAAGAACACGAGCCTAAGACCGAGTAAGAAATGAGCCTAAAACCGAGAATGAACAAGGACCTCAGACCGAGCTGCAGCGCTCACCTTCGTCGATGAGTACAATCTCCAGCACCGAGTGCAGCGGCACCTGGATAACGTGCGAGCACTCGCAGTAGCGCTCCCTGCACCCCTGGTCCTCCACGGAGGAGGTATTGCAGAACTGCTTCTGGTCCAGCTGCTCGTGCTGAGGCAGCATCGGCACCGACGGCATCTTCATCGAGATGTGGTTGAACTGCGGCGTGTACGTTTGCATCTTGGATGATACTGCAAGGAATGGGACGAAACACCTTTGGTGATTTGGTTGCAGATGGACAATTCGTGATTGTCAGAGTCGATTGATTAATTTATCATTCCTAATCAAATGTCGTTTCAATCATTTTAGACTGGGGATCAAGTTCATTCATTAAACGCAATTTACCTCCCTTGCCCAAGATACATGTGTAGTGCACTATAAAGACTAATATTCCAAATGCACGTTATTTTCCTGTGTTCGTTATGCCGCGTTGTTTGCTTTTATTTACTTCCTTGAGATGCTATATTCCTGATGGTGGTATATCTCATGAGAAAGTAATCAGGGATTGCATGCCCGATGATGCGCAGTAGCAACAATCAGAAAAAATACATACGAGTAAATCCAAACCAACACGATGGTTAGCAACTGATAAAGTGGACACGTTGGAAGCAAAAAAATGTTTGTTTTTTACAGTATATTTTGAACAAATAAGATTCACGTTAGGTGGAAGGAATTAAAGGACTATTTTTCATTCATATTTGTATTTTACTTTGTACTTGCTATTCCCGACAATCTTACTTTATATACATAATAAATTTTTATCTTGACTTCACTTCTATATACATTTCAATTCAATAATATTCATTATTTTAAATTTATTCAGATTATAATAAGTATATTAATTTTCATAACTTAGTGTGCGCTTTCCTCACTGCATGCAGAACTCATAAAAAATGTAAATTGTTTTGAAATAAATAGATAAATAAATAATATAAATGATATCAGCTACTTACTGATTAAAAAAACAAAATATTACATGAATTGCATACCTACATTATGATATCAAAGTATATTTTCAAATTATCTTTAATTAATAAACCACTTGGCAGTCAAGTTTGTACATTGTATTCATTATTAAAATTAATTATCTCTGAATTTTTGGCAAATGCCAAAGTTCAAATATTTGTCGAATCTGTTCTACAAGTAATCCAACACTATTGAAGGAAGAGATTCGAATTCGAATCTTATGTGTATCTTCTGTAGGATAGATTTTTCCAAGAAGCAGAAGAAGTAATGCAATAAAATCTGCAATTTTATATTACGTAACTGTTAGAAATGGTACAAGATACTAACACCTTTAGTTTTGAACAATTAAACAGATTGAGGAAATAGTTGGCCAATAATCCTCTTCAGGAATATTCATCGATTCATAATTGATCATGAAAGCCAATAGTTTCTTGGCTACCAACATGTAAGAAATATGGATAATGATAAAGAAAATACTAACAGCTACTCAGAGATATCACTTCAAGTTTTACTTATCACAAATCTGTAGTCTATTCCACACTTTTATTGGTAATCTATTTGATGTTCATATTATTTCATTAATGATAATGATAATGTTATTTCTAATTGTAGAACAAAGCTGTATGATCGCGGGAAGTAACTCTGCTAAAGCTCACCGTTGTAGAATCCGTAGTACGGCGCCTTGTGAAAGTGGGGGTTGTCGACTGCGTAGAAGTCGTAGGCCAAGTAGAAGCGGTAGTCTGGCTCCTCCTTAAGGCTCTCGTCGTCAGGGGCGATTGCATCCAACTCCGGGATGACAGAGGAGCCGGCGGTGCCCGTGCCCACGTTCAGAGAGTTCACTTGCTGTTGGCGTAAGAAATATGCGTTATGTAGGAGAACAAGATGCGTATTTTATAGCAGGACTACAGCATAACCTGCAGAGACAGCTTTGTGGTGAGGAGGCGTAAGTACAAAATCCTAAGCGATAACGATAACTACACACCGTTGTACGCGCACGACTCACGCTGACTTCATTGTGCGAAAGATTAACTATCATTTTTTGTGTAGGTAATATCATGTCACGTAAAGGTCTTGGCCAAAATGCCATGTCTATGCATGTCTCAGCTTACAGAAATGAAGAAATATTCTTTTCTATAGTTTAAAGCCTCCCGCAAAGAATTTTAATAAATTTTACGAAATTTAATTTTGAAAACATGTTTCCTTCTTTGGCAATATTACTTTATCTTTCAAGAACAGTCTTTAACAGACCCTGAATGATCTGTTTTCCTTAAAAAATCTCTTTCCGGACGCCCCAAACTATTTAAAATACACATGGATTACATTTACGTAAAAATAAATAAATAAATAAATAAATAAATTGATACATAAATACATAAAGTTCACGTACATGTCCAGGGCGATGGGCAGCGGCGTAGCTCAGCTCGCCAGGCGGCTCTACCTCCGTGGCGCCCTCGTAGCGCAAGATGGCGACCTGGTGCACGGCAGTGAAGTTCTCGCCGCAGTCAAGGAGGCCGCGCATGCGTATCCAATAGGTGCTCACGGAGCGGTTGGCCTCCAGGATGAAGTCGAAACGCTCGCCCGCATACGTCACCAACGACGCCGCTGCGGAACAGAGACGTTTTGTCAGATAAGCGTCAGCGTAACAAATTTACACATTTCTATATAGGAAGGGGCATAAAGAACAGCATGAGAATTCTGGCTCCGATCTACTTCACACACAAGATGATCAAGTGTCTAGCTCCTTACATCGAATGCTCAAATTGTCAGCAAAATAATTCATTTAATTTTTTAAGGAAGTGATTTAGAAGCTTCAATCTGTCATGTGAGATAATGCGTTTGAGTTGAGTATTTGTCCACTCTAGGCGTTAACTACTTAGGTCGTAAGAGTAGAGCCTGTATGAGAGATTTGGAAGATGTGCCGATGTGGTTTCCCTGTTAGGCCAAGAAAATCCCGAACGTGAAATTCGGCGTCGGCGTACATATCGACCTCAAGGCTCGAGGAAACTACGGAAAACTTCTGATCAGAAGAGTCGGCCCTTTTCTTCACTAGACATTGTTTAAATTCGACAATTTCACTTGTGAAATTAAAGGCTATGTGTATTTAACTATACACACAAAATGTTCCAATCAGGGCGGTGTACCTCAAAAAGTTAATCGTTTCTTCTATACGATTTTTCTTACCACTTCTACCTAGGACAAGTGTCCAAAATCCGCCACAGTCGGTACTCGAACCCTAACATTCCGGTCAATGATGCTGAAGAGCATCGCTATTACCTCGGAGAGATCTCAGTCGGTCATCAGAGGTAATGTTCCTCAGGACATTGAACGTGTAAGTGAAGATAAATATGATATAAAGATGATGAAAATTAGCGGCGGCGATGGTGTAACGGTTAGCGTTTCGGACTGTTATACTCAAGTTGGCGGATATAAACCCGATCGTGGATTTTTAAGGGAGAAAATCCTTCGTAGGCCTTCCTTCAGAGGGGAAGTAAAGCCTGCTGTCCCATATCAGTAGATTTACTTGCCTGTAAAAGATAATCAAAGACCCTAAATGAAGCTTCTGAGCTAAATTCAAATCGCCTGCTTCGCCCAAGAAATACCTCCTTTCTCCGCTAGTTGGTGAAAGGAGCGTAGCGAAATTTGCGTGGTCAGACGGAAGAGCGCCACGTAAGAGTCTCGCCACGTAAAATAAGGCATTGATTCAATTCAATATAGTCGAATAAAATTGTTGAAACTCACCAGCGACTGGCTGAATGTCACTTCCGTCGCTAGCAATGATCAACATATCGTGGTCGTCAACCGACAGCTCAATGGGGCAGTTGAGGAAGCCCGCGTTGATCAAGCGGAAGCGGTAGCGTAAACCCTGCAACAAAATTATCGCTTAATTTAAAAAATCTTAATGGTTTGAATATGCGTCTTAAGAACTATCTGTTGAAATCACTCAATACTTTCATTTGCTGCAGTATGCGAGAGAATGGGGTTTTATGCTCCTTTATTTCTTTTATTAGACAATGGGAACAGGGAAATCTAAAAGTTGGTAATTATAAATTCTTTATCTAGAAATTATATCTTAATCACTATGCTTACTTTTTACGGTTCTAAATAAAAATAGTAAACACTGAAAGAGATCTCTGATGTATTTGGATAGGTTAATTGAAAGCTAGAATCTATCCCATAATCTAACAGTATTGTTTTTTTATAATAAATTCTTTGACATGCCTTTCCGTGTTTGACTTTGGGTCTTTTGATTTGGATTGTACGAAATACTTTATTGGTGTATTAGTGCATGGACTTATAAGTATCTGGACTAAGAAACATCTAACACCTTAGCGTGCGGAAAGTACCGAGTTGTCACAGAAGATGTGAACTGTCATAATATTTCTGATACTTTGAACCTTTGGATCTCAAGGACTACTTCCAAACTAATGTAATTTCTGGGGACCTCTAAATGATGAATTCATATTTTGTTTGTGTACATCCTTGCTACATATGCTATGTCATCATTAACACGTTTCTAACGACCGAAATAATCGGTATCCGTGTTATAAAAATTCATGTCATCGGATTTATTAATTTTACTTATTTATTCCCTTTATATACGAGTTTATTGCGTATATGTGTATTTCAATAATGTGAATTGTAAACAAATTAAAATAATTACATCCTTAAAAAATAACAATTAATAGAATATTTCCTCCTGTATGAAATCAAATAGACTGTCAATATTTTCGAAAGCATATAAAACATTTAGCGAGTCACCGGCCAAATCACTGCGATCGAGAGGTTTGCAAAACTGTACTATTTTTACCCAAATTCGCAAGGGAAAAAAGGTAAAGTTTTTAACTGTGAACGTCCTACACAAGTTTTGGAACAATCAACCAAGTTTGATGAACGATGAACTGAATAATGTATTTTCAGATGACACTGGTAAGTAAAATATCTCAAATTAAAAGGTTATCAAATATCCGCACCAGTGTGATGTTAATCAAATCAGAAGGTGTGAGTATCAAACTTGAACGCACCGCTGTGAATTACATTTTTAGTCCAGCCTTTTTTGTTTTTTGTTTCGCAAGTTCCAGAATATTGTTGGACGACCTACCTGCTGGACGACGAACTCCGGCGCGGGGACGCGCGCGGTGGCGTTGTTGGCGCTGGCGCTGGGGCTGGCGCTGGCGCTGGCGCTGGCGCTGGCGTCGGGCAGCGGCGAGGGCGGGACGCGGCCGCGCCCGTTGACGAGGATGGCCGTGGGCTTGTTGGGGCCGCCCGCGTGGTGGTGCGCCAGAAAGCGCTCGGCGCCGCCGCTCGCGCCCCAGTCCAGGAGCAGCAGCGTGTGCGCGCGTTCGTCGCGGTCCCACAGCGCCGCGTGCGCGTCCGCCTCGCGTGGCACCCTCACCACCAGCGACCCGAACGCCCCGTCCGCGCGCTGGTGCCCTGCAATAGTCGCCACGCCGCGCCGCCGTCAGGAGTGCCAACATACGCTGCGTTTTCGTCTGCAAAGTCGATTACGCTCTCTACTTAGACACATTTCGCGGTTTGATCTCTAAATGTAAGTGGACATAGGTGTGTAATAACTAGCTCTTCTTAACCGGTTCAAAATAGAAACATTAATGCTTAATGTTTATCTGAAAATTAATTAGAATAAATAATTGGACTTAATTATCTGAAAATTAATAGAATTTATGCGTATCTGACTACCTTTGTCCACTACGTTGTTTTCATGGGTGAGTTGTAATCAAACTATAGTGAGGACTAAGGAAGTCATCTTTCCTTCGTCTGGCTCGAGCAAGCATGTCAGTGCGACGTTAAAGTTAGTGAAGCGAAGATTACGAGTCTTTTAAATGCAAATGTCTATGAGTGTATGCAGACCTTCAAATTTTGATGGGTTTCTACTAGTTTTTTTCATAATTACGGGTACTTTTCTTTCAACGTATTCGTCGATTTGGGTGAGGTCTATCGAAAATGGAAAATGTTATTTTATGGTTTATTGGAGAAAGTCCCCAGAGAAAATTCAAAGAGTGTTTAGGTACAATCATGAGCATCGTACCTTTTACCTCGAATTTGTACTTGCCTTTACGCATTCATATGATCTTAAGCACTTTTTGAATTCAAATGTCATTAATCAACCGTTTTCTTCAACAAAAGAATATTGTTGTTTAATTCATCCAATATTTACACATCCATAAACCTGACAACATTACTGGCGCAATTATCGTTGTAAAGATAAGATTTAAAAAATGAAATTTGATTCATTATAATAAAAAAGTATATTAACTGATATTATTATTAATTAATAATATTTAATAATTAACAACAATAATAATAATAAGTTATATAATATTTGTGAAATAATATTCGATAAATATTACTTTTTGTTCATTCGTTTTGTGAATTTATGTACTTGGATTGGTATAGTATCGGTTGGATATAGTATACCGTAATAAATTTACAAGCACATGAATAGCCGATGGTGCGTGCTGTGCGTACTGACCGGTGTGAGAGTGCCAGAAGTGCGTGCCGGGCGTGTCGGCCTTGAAGGCGTAGCGGAAGGTGGTCATGGGCGGCACGGGGCACTGCGTCACGTGCGGCACGCCGTCCATGTACGGGGTGCCTCGCTGGTGGTGGCCGTGCCAGTGCACGCTCGTCGTCTCCGCCACTAGTCCGTTGTGCAGGTCCACGACGATGCGGTCGCCCAGGCACACCTGCACAGAGGGCGTTCACATCATGCTCTGGATCACGGTGGAGCGAAACACGAGCTCTGAAACGACATTCATGAGACTTCCTCGATCTATTTACAGTAATACACAGCGTAATACCTTCTTTATTTTTTAACTTTACAAATTATATGTCTGCTATGGTTGTAAGTTAGTATCGTAGGAATGTGTGTGTTATAAATAAATTTCCTTGGTATAGTATAAGCAGAACAAAAATGAATGATTTATACGTAATATATCACGGATCTCCTTGAATGCCATGTAATGAAAACAGTCTGGAGGTATGCAATCCATGAAACTTTAGTGGAGAGCGAGTAATCTCATTACACGATGTAATGAGGTTCATGTTTACAATAAGAAGTATTATATCTTTTAGTCATTGACCGGTTAAGAAGTAATTTTACTAAATTTAAATTAACTGTGTTTATTATTTGAGTTTCTTAAGTGTTACTAACTTGAAGCTCTGAAAACTCTATTTAGAGACGAATCGTTGCCTTTTTAAAATATAAGTTTAACTTTATTTAATTTGTAAATTGATGTTCCCTTCAAAACCAGGTAATATGTACAGAAAACTCATAATTATATTATTATATTTACCAATTACAACATTTAGACTTGAAAATTGGGTAGTAAATGCAAGAAAAGGGAAAGAATTGAACCTGTAGAAATGGGTTCCTTGAGGAACGTGAGGAAAGAACATCGCGAAAATGTTTTCTAGTATCGGTGGAATGGAAGAGGAAAGAAAGATCACGGGAAAAGAGAATTCATGAAATACGACGAGCAATCCAAAAGAGAAAGGTAAATAAGAAGTCGCCAAAGGCATAGAAGGTTGAAATGTAGGTTGCGGTACGATCCGTACCTCCCCGATTGATAAAGCCAAACATTCCAATTGAATATGATTTTTTATTTTGATTTTCAACTTCAAGTTTTGAAAGTGGTTTCAATGCGTATTCGCATGGGCTGACGTTAGCAGACGCTAGCTGCTGTCTTACAGTGACTCTAACCATCAGGTCCTAGGTTTCGAGTCTCGAGGGTGGCGGAATTTCTTCATACACTACATAGCTTGGTCAGCCGCTTCAGGGAGGAAAATTCTACCGATCAGCTGCTTTCAACGGTTGTTTTTTTTTTTTTTTTTCCGGTCAATATCAGGCGAATGCTGGAACAGTACCCTAACAAACTAGCCATGGACTGCGTGTGATCTTTCCTTCTACTTCCTCGTCCAATCCTGACCTTATTCACATACACTTTCACCAATATGAACTACGTTTTCACCAGTACTGGAAGACCAGTCGAGAACATAGAGCTCGTCTCGCAAGGGGCGGTGTCCCAATAAAGAGAGATACATGGAGGGGGAATTCTCGCGCAAGGCAACGTGGTGCTGGATCTGACCAGCCTGAGGAGAAGCACTGCCGCCTCCCCCCCCCAAAAAATCGCTATGAAACCGGGACTAATCACCATATCCGTTGACGTTCACGGAAACAATCAATGTGCATTCCCAGAACTCGCCCTGCTGTTGCATCACCTCGACGGCCGGGCCGGGCATCTGACGGTTGACAACGACGAGGCCGCGCGGAACGCCGTCGGCCGCCACGCACTCAGGCAGGTCGCAGTCCTGGCGGCTGGCCGGGCAGTTGTAGCAGGCCTTGCTCATGGTGTAGTAGCCCGTAACCTCGAAGCGGTAGTAGCACCGCATGGGCGGCGCGCCCATCACGCACTCGCGCGCGCACGGGTGCGTCTCCAGGGCGTCGTCGTCGTCGAGGAAGCTGGCGTTCGAACCAGGCGCCACCCCGTCGTTCTCCAGCTGCACACGAGGGAGAGCCCCTTGTTAGAATTAGTGTTTATTGCCTCGGTTTTTTATAAAATTATCGTATAAAACCCAAGACACTACTCAAACACCAAGCAACTTTATCTTTGTTAATTTTTCTTGATTACATTTTTAATAACAACGGTTTGGAACCTGTATTTGTTCTCATCTTTAAGTCTTAAAATTTCTGAAGTGTTTTTTTTTGTTTTGACTTATGCATATTAATTTATTTGATACTATTTATCAGAAACAAGGCTTGTTAGAAGTAAAGACTGGGAACCAGCGTCGTGAAAAGTACGCGCAAATAGCCATGTCTACCTTAGGTTAGGAAATGTGGCACGCGTAATCACAAAGGTGAAATTATAAAATATTTAAACAAATATCTTTAACTAATAGCAAGCTAAGCTACTGGTTGCATTTTAGTTTCTACTGAACCTGAGAAACCTCTGTAAAGTGTGTAACATTCTTTGAACTTACTTTGAAGAATGTTGTGGTCTCAGTCTCATCGCGAATGGCGTCAGTCACCGTTGAAACATCGACAGTACTACCTTCCGGATCTTCTGTGAAGACTTCGTCAGAGTAAGCTTCATCTTTGGTCTCAGTGGTTTTGTTTTGCGCCGGGTCAAATGCATCAACAGAGCTGTCTCGTGCGGTTGTCGTAGACGTAGTGGTAGTGGAGGTTGCGTTGACTACTGCAGCATGTGGAATCACTTTGCGGAACGAAGGATTCCCAAATGATGAACCTTTGCTTGGCGAAGAAACTTGGGGGATATTCTGCAGTCCGCCTGCGCTCACGTACTGAATGGAGCGGCGACCCGAGTCTGAGAACGTACGAGAGGTCTGGTTGGCCTCTGATGACACGTTTTGGGAAACTGACGGGGCCGCTGACGAGGAAGGAACGGCAGTAGCAGCAGAGACGGTAGAGTCAGAGAAAGACTTTTGCGTTCCGTTCGCGTTGCCAGAGGTGGGAGTCGGGTGTGGAACGTCAACTGCGACATGTGGAGCAATTGTGTCCAACCAAAGCGGGACTCTAGCTGCGGTGTGGTTGTCGTGCGGGAGGGCGGTGGCTGCGTCGGCGGCGTCGGCGGCGTCGGTGGCGCCCATGGGCCAGGCCGCGGGGGTGGCGGAGGTCGTGGTCTCCGATGGGAGGTGGCTGGAGTCGGCGATGCGGTTGTCGGCCTCTTCGCGGGCCTCCGCGTGCAGAGTGGGGTTGCCCGTTCCCGCGGGAAGAGAGGACGATGATGGCTGTAGGTGGACGTCGTTGTCGGTGTGGCCACTCGGCACATGCGGCGATTGCGTCTGGGAAATATAAAGAAATGCATTAAAACACGCTCGGTATAATAGCGAGTTATCGTGCGTGTATGGAATCTACAACTCTGTCTAATTAGGACTATTAAGACGGGTGGAGTTTGTTGAAGAATTAAATTATTAAATGTTCAGTCCAATACCATTATCACTTCCCTTTTAAAACTAATTTCAATTGAATTAACCAATATATTTTTTTAAAAGAGAATTCTAAAACGTTTCAATCTTTACGATTTACAATGAAGATAATAATTATTATTTTAAGTACTGTAAACAATTCTCACACACGTATATAATTATTTATATTCGAACTCATTAATATATATATATATATATATATATATTATTTTATTATGAATGAAAATAAAACTATTATATTTGCAACAATATATATATATATATATATATATATATATATATATATATAGTTTTATTTTTATTCATAATAAAATAAAATTCATCAGTCTAATTTTGGCCAATTTTTTATATTTTTTCATAATTTGAACAAACAGTGAACTATTGTTTTAGTTGTAAATACCATAATCGTTATCAAAATATTGGTACATAGTATAATATATAATTTCTTGAAAAATTAGTGTCAACAACTCAAAGATAAGGAGTTAAAAAATCGAAGTATCAAATATTTCGTAAAAAAACGTTATTTTCTATTTAAAATTTAAGTTATCTATTTAAAGTCCAAGCGAAGGTGAAATGGAATTGAAAATTCCCGTTGTCAAGTTAACCAAGTTATCTACGATCTCATTTAATTTCTTTATAATTTTGTAGTCCCGACTACTTCCAATAATTTTGTAGTTTCTGTACATATATCTGTATATAATGGCGAATTCCGGCTTTCAAAGCCTCATGTAAAAGCACTTACGGCGGCGGCGCTGCCTGCGCCAGGGAGCTGCCCCTGCGCGGCGGGAGCCTCCGAGGAGCTGACCCCGTGCGCGCTGGGGCTGAACGCCGCGCCCAGCATGGGGTTGGCGGCGGCGGGGTCATGGGCGGACACTACCACGGGCGCGTACACTGCGGGAGAAAACGGCGTTACAAACGTACCATTTTCAGACGGTTTGGGATCGTAAAAAGATGAAAATGACATGTTCCTGACAATAAGGTGAGGACAAAATGATAGAAATAATTGAGACATGTAGCTCAAGCAGTGTTTGTAGTGTTTATAAGAAAAATAGTTTTTGGGAATTTCATGTATTAGCTCTTAAATGTAGTAAAATAGAAGGGTTATTCTGAAGAATACGTAAACTCACCTGATGCTCTTTGGCTGGCTGATCCCGGAACAGAAATCAGCACAAAGAGAGCTGCTGTGACGGCAAGGGTAGTTGACGTCACCGACGACCGCTTGCAGTGACGGCGGTTACACGTCATGGTGACTGCACCTGTAACAGCATACGATTGTTGTTTGTGGAACAGTACACACTCGTCGTAATTCTTACTACATTTTGGGTTTATTTATAGTATTGACTTATGTGATGAAACATGAATTGAATACAATATATCAGATAATTCTGCCTATATAAAGTTTTAAAAAGTTCGGTTAAATTTTGATGAACCAGATTAAATAGCGTATGTGGTTGCGACTTTGCAATTGATGAACCCTTACACCATAAGTTAAAGGTTCATGTCTCGAAGATGAGGGTGTGACCCCATTTAAATAGCTGGGTCAGAGACGACTACTGCATCAAGAGATTGACTGTTCTAATTGGTCGTTTCCAGTCTCCTCCGGCCTCTCAAAACGTAGCTGACGTAATCTTTTTAATATTGAACGTTATTATTATGTCCATATTCAGTGGGTAACTCGATGCTTTGTTCAAAGATTGAACTGATCTACCATTCAGAAAGGAAAATGCATAAATATATTTGCATTCGATTCGTTTATAATTTCAGATTTTTCATTTGAAAATTTAAGTGCTGTAGAAAGACTTACTTGACAGTCCATGAAAGTAGAAAAGTGTGAAATGACAAGATTCCCTGAGAGATAGGCAGCACAGATTACATTAGTGTTGTGCAACGCTGCATAATCACAGGGGCGATTATGCAGCTCAAAGTTTCCCACGGTGTACCGTTTGTCGAAACAGTTTCGACAAGTGCGTCTAACGTTCAAGGTGTGTAAAAACAATTAATTATCAAAAAATTCTTAACAATAGAAAATGCCATTCATATTTGTATCAAGGAACGTAGATCAGGTTTGAAGAGTGTAAGCTTGGCACGGAATTTATTATACATTCAACATTGGACCACATTAATTTGCGCTTTGTATAAAAAACACACATTATATAGATTACATTCACAAGCGCATTTGGACCTAATGGTTGTGCCCTTCGTCAGGACAATGTACTATAACCTAAAAAATAATATAGATGATTAAAATAAGCATAAGAAAAAACAACATCAACATTATGTAATTGTATGCATAGACTTTTCAAGGAATTGATATATTTTTTCTAATATTTCCGATTAAGTATTTATATAACTGAATTCATTATTTTCTTGAACTGTATTAGTTTTAGCAATAACACTTTTAATTTCAATGAACATATGAAATGTTAAAAATAACATAAAATGTAAAACAATATTACAAATTTGCAAAAATATAAGTGCAGTTGCAACTCCCAAAACGTATTATATTTGGAACATTTCTGTCAAAATTATATTCTTATCAAAAATAATTTACGATGATAGACATCAATGCCACAATATTCAAGTAATGTAACCATTGACCGAATTATATCCAAGCAGATACTTTTTTCATCTATTTTGATTCCGTTAACGTTAATTCTGCATTTAAATGATTATTACTTTGCGTTTGTAATCAATTTAATTTTTATATTGTTTTGTTCTTTAAAATCACGCGAGAAAATAATATCAATTTTTATTGTTCTCTGTTATCTAATAATATTTATCTGCAGCTGGAGACACTAGAATTGTAAGTACTTCTAAAAACTAACATACAATTATTCAACGTAAGGTAATTTTATTATTTTACTTAATCGGCTAGATTTAGTCAAACATTCCAACTCAAGGTGCAGAGAGAATGGATTGGAGAGTCCCCCAGCATTTCGTTGAATCTCTCCAATTCTTGTCGGAAATATAGAATGTCTACATCAATGATGGGTGAATCAAAGCCCATCGTTCAATTCTAAGCAACAAAGTAAGTACAAGATAGGAAAGGAAAATCACGTAATATGCGCGGCCCATTGTTTAAGTTACTGCTCTAGTATTTGCCGGGAATTGATTGGAATGGTAGACGTATGGACAGTCACGACCAATCATTGCATCCGACCTCCTGCGTTCTCACAGACCCGGCTATTTAGCTAGGCTCCAAAATCCGCACGTCGTCGTCTAGAACCTCTCGGTAAATGAAGCTTCGGTCGTAACTTGTACACTATTGCAACTGGAAATAACATTGTAAGTAAACGGAACGTAATTAGCAGCGGAACGTGAGAGTACATCATCCCTGGGGACCCGTCGCTTTCCGCTGCCCTTCCACCGAGAGGTAGCCAGCCGCGCGGCGCCGCATTGCTTTGAGTCGCAGCGGCGAGCGACCCGCCGGCGCGGCGCTTATCTGGCGGAGGCCGCGCCGGCGGCCGCGTTGGGCAACGGTGGCGCCGCGCCGCCTGCGGGCGCCCTCGCTTTCGCAGCCGCGTGAGACGCCCGCGCGCAGTGCCATCTCCCTTTCGCAAACGCGCGCTGCGCCGCCAACCGTCAGCAGCGGGCGAACACCGTTTATTTGTTCTACTTCAGCTTTATTCACTATTTGTTCTACAGGGACGTTTGGTGAATCCAACGGCATTCATTTGGGGTGTACACCGACTGCATCTCGCGGTCAACTTTTTCTAAGCGTACGTCTCAAAAGGTACTGTCAGTCTGCATCCCGTTCCGTTTTCCTTATGGCTATGATTGATTTCTATATTTACCGTGATCTGTATAATATTAATTGATTATTATTGATCTACTTCTGTCTGTTTTCAAGAAACACATGCACGTCCTTTTAGAGCTCTGCCAACGTTGAAAATTACACTTAAAAGTATGTGGAAACAAAACTTGAAACCTATCACGGGAATCTCCTTGCTTAACACACCTTATTCCGAAGATTATGATATTATTAATTTGTATTCAAGGTTTTCTTCGGGACTGTTGCAAGAACGTCTATTACTTGAACACATATTGAATCTTTTTACTCGTTCTGAGAAAGACCAGATGAAAGAAACGAGATGCAGTCGGGCCTTTTCAGGTAACGAAAGCGAAGGGAGATTAGCTGGGAAGCGGGGTTGAGGAAAAACTGAGCCAAGGATTTTTTTTTCATTTATTTTCTTCTTGTTCGGCCATGTGGCCTTTCAAGGGCTTGGATACAATAGAT